TTTCAAAACCGTTGAAACCCGCGGTTTCTGTAAAAGTATCTGAACCAGAAAACCTGGTTCAGGATGACTCCACTCACCTGAACTTGTCTCAAATCCAGGTGAGTTACCCTTCGAGGGGCGTTGTAGTGAACTTTTTCAAGTTCCATTCACGCAAAGTTTGTTTGCGATTAGAGACAGAATAAAAAAATATTCTTTAAAATTTCAGAAAATAGTGGGGCACGACATCCTTACTGTCGTTACACATTCCCGGATGTTTTAATATACACCACAAATGCCGCGGTTCTCAGTAGACACACCGCGGTATTTAATACCGAGGATAATAGCGGGCATACCGCGGTTTCTGAAACCGGTAGATACCGCGATACCCAATACCGCGGTTTAGAAACTGTTCTTATTTCATCATTTTTGTAAATGCTAAAGCGTTTCTAAAAATATTTAGTTGTTTTATCTTCAATGAGCAGCTTCATATATTATTTTGAGTTCATCGTTTTTCAATGGATTACTGATCATTTACTTATACGTTTGCGTTCGGTTGTCAATGTCCCATACAAGGATACGCAAAACCTGATTACGAAAGACAAAATGTAAAAATATAATTTCTACCATATTCTGACAGCGTAGTTCCTTTGTGCCATTATATTCAAACGTTTCTAAGTATTGTAAAAATCTGAAAGTTATGATGGCATTAGAGTATTATATTGAATATTACTGTATCATACTGTATAGATCATATATTCGTATGATTGTGTTTTGAAACGAATCAACGACATCTATATTATATACTAAAATTTTAAAGTAAATGAGGGACAGACGACGGAATAAAAACAAATCAACAATATCAATAATATCCACTTTGTTTGCTCTTCTGTACAAGTCATATACACATCGGACGAAACTTTTATATCAGTGGACGAACAATAATTTCGTCACGAACGTTTATGTTTGTTAAACAGCTTCATCTTTGCACATTTACTTATATATATCCGACACAAATTCAAAAATTTTTCTCCAATGTGCAATCAATTTTTTTCGAACTTGAATGTTTTTTCTAATTTATTTTAGATTTTTGTCATGGCAAGCTATGCTGTACCTCCATCACTTCAACGAACAAACAGCAAAGCAAATATGAATATTTTTCTTTTAATTCAAATCAAACTCAATGATAATTTATTGATTATTAGCCGTGATAGTTTGACACCACCATTACGCACTGGAAAATTAACTCTTCGTCAAAAAATTCACATTCGTGATGAAGAAGGAAATAATATTGAAGCTACAATAATTTACATGCGTATGTATACTATACTTTTCTTCGGTTTCTTTCGTCAATCTATTTTTGTTTTTATTTTTTTTTTCTGTAGATCACGATCGAGATAATTGCGTTGCGATGAAGAAACATTTGATTGCACAGAAAAGACAACAAGAAAAAAATAATACAACTCAATCATTAAACGTTTCGAACGAATCATATTCACCATTATCATCATCTCAAATTACTATTTCCAACGAATCTTCAGATAATCTTGTAAAAAAATATTCACGAATCCATAAGAAAAAAAATGTTAATCAACCCAATAAACATTCAACAATGCTAAGTTCAACGTTAATATCTACTGAATCTGATCCTTATGAAGAAGATGATGAAACCACAAGTGGTAGTGTTGAATATTCATTATATTCAAGTACAAAGCCAAATGAAACAGTAAAAATGAACACGACCATGGTCAATATAACTGAATCATCTTCAACACTTATGGAAGATAATGAAGATAATTGTTATGCACAAAAAATTCGAGAATTATCCAACAAAGTTAAAGAACAAGAAGCAATAATAAAAAATCAAACTGCTGAAATAAAACGATTACGAACGACCACGCTCGGTAACTTATGCTATTTCTTTTTTAAAATAATCGTTTTTGTTTTAGAAATTCCAACAGATGAAGCTGTTCAAAACTTTTTAATGTATCTAGGAGACAAAACACGACAGCAATCAACTGAATATAAGTTCACTGGTAACTTGGTTGATGAACCTAAAACTCTTGGTATAAATGTAGATCAATTAAATGAAATATTAAACTCCAAAGCTGGAACCACGAGTGTTGCTCGTGATTTATTCCAAGCAATCGTTCCAGAAAATCGAAGAAAAGTTGATCGTTGGAATCAATTGGATGAAGATATATTTATCAAAGAGAAACTCTTAATTGGTATGTGAAGTGTTGCATGTTTTTCTTCATCGTAAATCATAGCATATGTTCATTTCTTTTTAGAATTTACGGAACGATATTATGGCCCTCTTAAAGTTGATCAAAAAAAGGTACACACGAGTCTAGTTGGATGTCTTCGAAATCAACGAAATACTAACAAAAAACGAAGTCAACTTGCTGATATACAAAATGGTGGTATTGCAGAAGGCAATCATATGCGTCAGTTAGCTGATCCAGAAGGTTTTAATACAAATTCATGAAACTCAAACAAACGATGGTGACTGTATTTAATTGAAGTTGTTTTTTTATTGATTATATTTTGTTTTTTTTTGTCTTCATTTTTTCACTAAACTTGTACTAACTGTACATGTTCTTATATTTGTTCTTATTAAGTTGATACAATGAAATAAAGATGAATTATGAAATGCATCAGATACTAACAGAAAAGTAATTCATAGTGAACTTAAAAGTAGGTCAAGATTTTACAAATTGAATAGATTGATGTAATATTATATATTATAAGCACTATATGCTAACCGCAGTTAACTACATTGTTATGGCGTTATTACTGCACACTGGTTTCTTAAACCGCGGTTAAGCATATTGTCATCGCGGTATCACTGCGCACCAGTTTCAAGCGGTTTCTTAAACCACGGTCTAGTGTATTGACACCGCGGTATCACTGCACAGCGGTTTCTAAAACCGCGGTTTAGTCTATTCACACTGCGGTATCACTGCACATCAGTTTCAAGCGGTTTCTTAAACCGCAGTCTAGTGTGTTGACACCGTGGTATCACTGCACAGCGGTTTCAAGCGGTTTCTAAAACCGCGGTTTAGTCTATTCGCACCGCGGTATCACTGCACACCGGTTTCAAGCGGTTTCTTGGATCGCGGTGCAGTTCATTGTCACCGCGGTATGTTTGCACAGAGATTTCAAGCGGTTTCTTAAACCGCGGTGCAGTGTAGTATCACGGCAGTATTATTCTGTTGCAATTTCTAAAGGTTTTAAAAACTGAAACGATCCTGTAACGAATAGAGTTTCTTTTAATGTCATTGGTGAAGCAAATGTTCGAGGGATGTGATTGACATGTAAGTTCAACTTTGTCTGTGGGAATGTTTTTTTTTTAAATAAAATACCATTTTCTTCACAATGTTATGTGTGACATCAGCAAAGTTTTTATTTTAAAACTGAATATCTATCCTTCTAATCAATGAATGAGAGGAAAAAAAGCTAGATTTTGTTAGGCGATATGTAAAATGCTGTTCGTGTATAATTTTGCTAATACAAATTTTAGTGTTTTCATATTTAGATGAGACCAAAGGTTACTTCTCCACAAAAGCGAGAAGCAGTTAGGAGAAAAAATCGTACACATTGGTCAACTCACAAACACCAAATAACATGCAAAAGAAAACAGGAATTCTTATTGAAACGGTTGCAGAACAATAATTTCAATCTCTGCAATTTCAAAAATTTTAAAATAGATGATACTCTTGCTTATATATCAGTTAATGAAAAGTCGAACTATGTAGATTATAAACATGATAATGAAACAACTTCTGATGTTGATTTCGATAACGAATACTTTGCTGATTTTACCGAAAAAGTTGTTACTGATGATAGTGACAATGAAGATGATTTTCATTTAACCGAAGATGATGAGATCGAAGAAAGTTTAAATGAAGAACAATTGAAAATAGCTGATGAATTCTTTGACATGCAAAACAAGACTGAATCAATTCGTGATTATGATGAAGTAGTGAGTTACAAATTTTCGAAATATTCGTCTTTCTTTCTGTTCTTATCTAGTTGAGCACTAATTTTTTTTAATGCTTTTCATTTCTTGAGATATTATTTTATGTAGGATGTATCAGTGATTTTGTTAATGATCAAAAAGAAGCATAAATGTACAAATAGTCTTCTAATCGATTTGTTAAAATTATTGACAATACTTAAAGTGCCAAATGCTCCATCATCTTGGCATAAACTGAAACAAATTATTAACAGATCAGGAGGGAAAAAAAATGAAAAACATAAATTGGTTGACTTAACGTTGCATTTTTGTCCAGAGTGTGAAAATGAATCAAGTAATTCAGAAAAATGCACGAATCTTGATTGTTCATACAACAGAAACATGCTAGTTCCACCTCACACATTTATGGTAATGAACATCGAACAACAAATTCGACAAGTTTTAAACTCAATCAATCCTAATGACTTGAAGTTATCATCATCAAGAGGTAGTGACTTTAGCCCATCATTAATGACTGACATCCAGCACGGACGAGTTTACATGAATATCCTACGTACATTAAACAATCAACGTGAATCTAAATTTATCACATTAACATGTAATGTTGATGGTGTTGCACTTTATAGTCACAGCGAACAACATATGTGGACCTTCACAGCTTGTATTAATGAGATAAAACGTACACTACGTTTCAGTATTGAAAATATTATTGGTAAAACGCCTATTCGAAAATTTTAGTTTTGAATTATTTTCTGTTTGTTGTAGTGTTGGCGCTTAGCGTAGGTCATAAGAAACCATCTCGAATAATTATGCAGAAAATGCTCTCTTCGATTGTTTTACGATTGAATGAATTACAAAAACCTAATTTTTACCAAATATCCAATTTTTCTCAAGAAATGCTGCGGCTTTATCTCATTGGAGTTTGCGATGATAAGCCTGCCAACAGTCTTGTTCAAAATCAACCAGAGCCTAATGCTTTATATGGCTGTTCTAAGTGCGAAATAGCAGGTCATTTTTTTTCTTAGCAAGAAAGCAGCAATCGCTTGTTTGTCAATTCTCTAGGTATTACAACACCATGTAAAGTACTCTCATCATCAATATTGTCTAATAAAAAAAAAATTACATATGTTCGCATTTTTCCAACTCCAACACATCAACAAATCGAACTACGTTCTAATTTCCGATGGATGGAAATCAGCCATGCTCTTCAGAACAAACATAGTTTTTTGACTGAAGACAATCAAATGCATTCATTTGGTTATTTAGGAGAGTGTGAATTAACTAACCTAGCATATATTGATCGTGGAACATCATTTATGTCCGACACGTTACACTCTATATACCATGGTGCTTTTGTACGTAATTGTTTTTTAAATAAATTATTTTATGCTATTCTTTTTAATAGAAGCGTCTGTTGCAACTATGGACCAAGTCTTCAAAAAAAGACCCATGGTCAATAGTAGGATTTCTTCCTGAAATACATGCTGATCTTGGACATATACGGTATCCAAGTACCACAACAAGGGCACCTCGAAGTATACTTAAATGTTCTAATCTAAAAGCGAATGAGTCTCGCGTATTATTATTAATCTGTTACCCGGTTTTTAAAAGCTACTTACCTGAAAAATATTATAAACATCTTCAAATGCTAGCTTTCGGTATAACCATTGGAGAATCTAGTAATATTTCATCGAAAAATATAAATGATATGCAGATGTTGTTATCAAGCTTCGTTGATAATTTTCCTTATCCAGAACGATATGTTGTCCAAAATATCCATTGTGTTAAGCACTTTGTAACAACAGTAGAAGATTTTGGTCCCCTATTCAATTATAGTACTTTCAATTATGAAAGCACCATTGGTAATATCCTGTCTGAGCGATGATTCTCATTAAATTTTTCTGCTTTGTCCTCTCTACAGGATATTTATCAGCATCAGTTCATGGTACAAAACGACTTGCTACTGAACTTATGTTAAACCTTCAATTATTTAAACAAAGTTATTTTGCATCAAAACATCATTGTTCAACGTCTCTGGTTTCACCATTTATACAATACTTATGTGATGGAAAAAAATACCGTCCTCGTGAAAAACTATCTGATGAAAAAATTACAAAAGATGATTTTGATTTATTGTTTCAAGCGGTTCCAAAGAACTGCTTGATAAAATCCATGAAATTCGGTAAGTTTAATTGCTATTATTTATCATCAAAGATAATTAAGCGTATAGAAATATGAATGAATAGATTCATTAATTCAAAATTTTACACTTCTTTAGTGACCCTAAACAATATAACTTTTTCAACAAAAAACACTTCGAAATCGAAAACATTTACAGATGCATCAATTGTTTATAAACATCTTAATAAGTTACATTATGGCATAATCCAAAAGATATTTTACGTCGAACAAGAAAGAAAGTATTTATTAAAAATACAACCATTACAGAATACTTATTACGACAGCTTAAATCTTTATGGTAAAGTCTTTGTTAATGAAAATGTAATATTCGGTACTTTATCTCAAAACGAATTTGATTTAATACCATTAATAAGTGTTATCGAGAAAGCGTGTTATTACAAAAGAAATGAACTATGTTACTTTGCTCGTTATCCAAACTTTTTTGAGTCCTCCTAGAAGTTTCTTTTTCATAATACTATTCCATGTGTTTTTCTGTAACTTCTCATTAAATAAATTGATCTTACTCTTAATCAGTTGAACTAACTCAATTTGTTGTAATAATCACTTTACGTGAATTTCGTACAAAAATTCAAGCAAATTTTCGCATGATATTTTCGCTTCGATTGTTCTTTAAAACGAAGAAATGGCATGAAACATTTATTCCTCAAACTGTTTGATACCGATAAATATAATTTATTCACAATGATGTCATGGCACAGAAAATCGCTAGAAAACTTTTTAATACCGTGGTTGCACATGATTAGACCGCGGTTGTACATGATTAAACCGCGGTTTTCGAAACCGCTGGATACCGCGGTATTTATTACCGCAATAAATGATGATTATACCGCAGTTTTTGAAACCCCTGAATACTGCGGTATTTATTACCGCAATAAATAATAACTATACCGCGGTTTTTGAAACCGCTCAGTACCGTCCTTATTAACCACCGCGACTACTGATGACTATAGAGCGGTTTTAGAAACCGCTAGATACCGCGGCATTTTTCACCGCAATTACTGATGACTGTACCGCGGTTTTAGAAACCGCTCAATACCGCGGTATTCACCACCGCAGGTATTGATGACTATACCGCGTTTTTAAAAACCACTCAATACCGCGATGTTTACCACCGCGGTTCCTAATGACTATACCGCGGTTTTTGAAACCGCTGAATACTGCGGTATTTAGAACCGCGATTATGAATACGAGCAACGCGGTTTCAGAAAACCGCGGTTCAAAAAAACCGCTACCAACTGCGGTTATCCAATACAAACCGCGGTTTCCTCTAGTAAAACCGCGGTCGAATGAAAAAAACCGCGGTTTCGAGCGGTTTTTCGAAAAAAATTTTTCCGTGGGTATTTTTAAAGCGAAATTAAAACTGGTTTATTTTTGTAGTCTGTCTCAGGCCTTATAAATTGATAAAAGAAAAGTCTTTGTTTCAGATAATTTATAACCTATTGTCCAATTCTTTGTTATTTATCACAAACAACTGATGTTTTCTTTTTTTAAGAAGGTTAAAATTTCGTCTTTCTTGTTTTTTTTAACAAAAAACTAGTTGTTTATCAAAATGTGTAAGTTATTATTCAAATCTCAAAAAAAAAAGAAATCATTTTAGTTGTTTTTCTTTCACAAAATGTTCATTTTTATTGTCGACGGAGCAAGAAGAAACTATTTTCTGTTGTTCGAAAATATCGAAATTTTTCTGAGTCAAAAATAGAATTGAAATTATAAAGAAAACTATTAAAATATGAAACACGATATAGTTGCTCTTGCTAATCATAAAGAAATTATTTTATTCTAACTATCTTTGAAGACATTTCTTTATCCTTCTTTCATTTAATTTTCTAGAAATACAATAAGAAAGTAATGATGAGATGTTATTGGTATACGATCTTTAGTTGTAAGCATATCAACAACGTCGATCATGGTCTGCAAGAGTCTTTGACTAGCTTCTCTTACAATCTATGGACGATACAATTTGTCCGAGGACGAAGTCAGTCAAGCTCTGAACATTCCATGTTTGACCTGACAGTTGTTACTCTGAAAGTAACAGTTAATTACTTCCATATTTTTATACGATAATCGTCAAGATCTCTTAAAAAATGTGTAAAACATGTTAGTTGCCGAATCTAAATAAGAATGACAATGAAAACAAATAAAAAAATTTTAATCTATCGAACCTGAGTCCAAAAATTTTGAAGTAGATGAGCTCTAGTAGGGGGATCGAAAGTTTTTACCTTTATGATTGTCGTTCATAAAACTTTGATTTCGAAAGAATTCTCTTTAAAAAAAAAAGCTAAGTTTATTTGTATGAACTTCTTATTTTCTTCTATTTAAATTACATAGAATAAGTAAAATTCATAGAAAAATTACTTGTTACTATTCAATTATTGAATTTTCTTGATACATCCATGAAATAGATTCTAATAGTTGATAAAAGAAAATATAATTTGATATTAAACATTTTCATTACGTTCATCCATTTAAAGAACTTCCTGAACAGTTTTAACTGTTACGTAAAAGCAAAACTTGTTCATAATGTTCAAAGTCCTTTAAATCGAAATCAATGAAAAAATTTTCTAATATATACGTTGTCTCTATGAGATCTCTGTTACTTTTGTAATGAATGAGAGTTTTATAATTGAACACATTAATACTCTGAAGCTATTCTAAATTTTTAGGGACTTCTAGATTTCATTTTAAGGTACTCATGAGAGACGTCATACACTTTTTTGCTTCACAAAAAGTATTTTTTTTTAAGAACAAAACAAATAAAACGTAATACACATTGAAAGTATGTTATTCCGAATGATTCCGATGAACTCTATAAGATCATGTAGAGGAAAAAAAATCTATTTCAAGATGAGAATCTTTTGCAAACGTAGGGGCAAGTATCTCAGGTATGAAAAAATGTGAAGTCACATTTTGAAAATTTCGACCTAAGAATAAATTTCAAAAATTTATTCTTATGAATGCTCAAGTATCAATTGATTCGAATTTCTTGAAATTATCATTGCTTCTTTAAATATTTCAAATTTGGTAACTTATATTCAGCATTAGATTAGTTAAATAATCTTCCATCGTTTAGGGATTGTATTTTTCAATATTGTACTTAACAACAGAGAATAATTATGTTCATTTTCTATCAATTTATTATAACTTTCTTTGTAGATGTTCATAATGTATTAAACTTTGTATTTGTTTTTTGAAAACATTCAATCTATTACTTTGTACTTGAAAAAGGATTTTATTCAAAATGCAACATATAATATTATAAGAAATAGAAGAACATATTTCAATGTGTAACATTTTTTATTCTATCGTCAAATATTTCAATGATGTGTATCACATGAAATTTTAGTTTTATTACGAACCAAAAAAGAAAATTACATATCGAAAGAAAAAAACAAAGAAACTCAGAAAAATACAAAAAAAATCTAAATCATGCAAAATAGTATAAGTAACATGCGAGTATTGAAATGGTTCATACATGACATATTAAGCAACTGTTCTGACCTTAGAATAGTGTTCTCCTGGAAAATCGAGCAGTGTGGATACGCTGAATTCATCAAGTATCTGTGAGTTTCTTATATATTCGATAATTTTAGTTTATTTTATTCATTATTGGACTAGAAAAAAAAAAACTTCTTTATTTTTGTTGAGAAAACTCCTTTTTCTTTTCCTATATGCGTCATTAAATATCAGGAAAATGAAGTCATATATCGAAATTTTCATTGTAAAATATTGATCGTTATGGAAAATAAAGGTCATATTTGGAATCAGTCAAGAAAAATACAGCGGAAACTCAATAGATCATCGTAAAATAGCTTCTGATAAGATTTCGCCAGTAGGAGACGAAGAAATCAAATTTATAAAGAAAAGTCTTAGGGAAGTAAAGACGAAATTTCGTCGGGAATAATTTTTTCGATTATATACAGCTTCTGGTATATTATAACCTGGTAATTCTAAATATGACGTTTATTTTCCATAGAGGTCATTGTCTGACAATCAAAATTGCGACATATAACTTCATTTTTCTGAGACCTAATGAAATAGTCTAACAGACTAGTTTTATAGGAAAATGTGCAAGTTTTCTTTCATAGAATAAAATACTCAATTTTTCGTAGATATATTCGTAGTATTTAAAAATTTTTATCTCAAAATATGGTTTCAAAAAAATAATTTAATATACACAGTTTTCTAGAACTTGATGAACTCTATTGAACTATGTAATATTTTAAAGACAAAAAAGTTTATTCTATTTTTGACCTACTCACACATTAGGAATACACAGGGAATCCATATGTATATCTGAATTTCATTCACTGAAAACCATTTAATCATCTAAATAGTTGTTATAAATATGAATATAAACTGTTTTATTGTTACCTATTTTACTTGGCGTTCCTTGACAAAAAAAAACTAAATCTTCGTGTATGTCAATTCTTAATGTGTTAAAGCAAGAATACATTTGTCAAATGCTTGCTGAAGTGAAGATCGGATTAACTCGTATTCTGTAATATCTCATCTCTGAAATGTTACAATTGTCTTATCAAACATACTAGAGACAAATCATAAAGGAGGATAGTACTGTAACTATTAAAAATAAATATGTCCATTATTTATCTTGTCTTGCATAAATGCACATTCGCAAGTACTTTTATCTTTTTTCATTGTGTAGAAGCATTTTCTTGGTTACTTTCACTTCAATACATTTGTTTCTTTGATATTCTCGGTTACATAAATTCGTTATTCTTTTCTCTTGGTTGTTTTCCTTAATGACGGAGTTCGTTGATCGATAATTTTCCATTGTTGTATGTTCGTTATTGGACCCTTCAATCAACATTTGACATGAATAGTGGATGTTTTCTTTTATATGAAGAACGTTTGTTTTATTTTCATAATATATAACAATTTATCAAGGATCTAACTAGTCTAATATGCAGTTAGTTCGTTAGTGATTCTAATAATATATACATCATATAACACACTTCCCATGAAAAAAATCCTGGCTTCAAGGAAGTTTCAGTTATCAAATAGAAATTATTTGACATTTACTAATCGCAATAGTTAACTACAGAAAAAATATTAACTTATATTCAAAATCTAAGCCTGACAGCCATTAAAGTGAAAGACGAAACTGCTCAGTAGAAAGAAATTTTCTGTTAAACAATTTCCATTGGCCCGTAACATGTAAATTTCTAGGCTTCTTAAAAAAATTTCCGAAACTTATGGGTGTAGCTGTGGGTGATTGAAGAAGAATAAGCAACATCCACACTCACCCACACTCACACCATTGTTGTCGATTCCATGGATTCCATTTCTCTCCTTCTCTCTTATATACGTTGCTTAGCATAGACTCACGTAAATAAAGGTATTTACATACACACTTACACGGTCAAGAAAGAACATTCCAGAATATGCATGAATCAGATCAAAAGAGATAGATAGTGAGTAAACAGAAGTAAAGGAAAGGGAAGAAAAGAAAATGCACTCGGATAACTTGAAGGTACAGAAAGAAAAGCGAGAGACATGCAGTGTGTGTTTTCCATACGTGATAACAGAACGGAAAAAAGGGACTCAAAGTAAACAAAAAATATTCGTATCTACTTCAATATGCTTTGCTACATGAACAATGAATGATAGTGACTGGTTGATATTATTAACTTGCTCTATTACAAGTTACTAAAGCTTCCGGCAAGAGCAGCAGACCAATATAATATCATGCACACTGAAATTAGTTTGAAATCTGTTGGGATTCGGGTGGATCCCAGGTTGACAACAAGCGTTCATATGTACTTCGACATAGTTTATTACATCGACAACGAACGGCAAGGGCTGTTTCATATCATCAGCTTACTCTATTACACTTCATTAAGGCATACCCAGAGAAGCGTAGTTCGGTCTAATGTTGCTGTACAACTAACATTGATTGAAAACTTCGTGGGGTCCGGGCGGACCCCAGATTGCCGTATGAGGGTTAATTGTAATCTTGATTATCTTCAAGAAGAAAACCTAAGGTTATGGCTCATCCACCATATTCACCTGATCTTGGTTCTTCTGACTTTTGATTGCTCAATTGTCTGAAACGTATTCTTAATACATATCCAGAGTCAACAACTTTAGCCAGGACAATAACCGAGGAACTCATTTCGATACCTGTTGAAGAATAGAAAAAAACATTTCAAAAGTGAGTTGAGAGGATGAAACTTGGTATCGAACATCTTGGGAACTACTTTGAACATTTGCTGTAAAGAGATCATTAAAATGCTTTCTCTATAAATAAATATTTGAAAGTGCACGAACTTTTCGACTGACTCAAGTAGATAATTGATGTTGTGTCATTGACAGAAAAGAAATGCTACTGTTGGTAGGAACTGCTGAAGCACAAAATGAAGAAACAAATATACACATTGGTCGATAAAATGGTCATGATTTCTTGGAAATGAAAATATCTCTCTGTGATATATCAGTGAAGCATTTTTTGTTCCATTCACTAATCTAATTTTCGAATATCAAGAAGAAGAATACATTCACAATGTTAGTATTAGAACATTTAAATTCACACTAATCTAAATGTATCACATAGTTTTGCATGCAATTGCTGCATTTGATTCGACTGGCAATGGTATACCGTTGACATACATCCTAGAGACTTCAATAATGTAACAAATTGCATTAGAAGGATGAAAACAGACATGAAAATTGATTTATTTCAATGTCATTAAATAATGAACGCCAACATCACAATGAGCCCGGATACAGTGGCAAATAGGGTCATGAGAATATTTAGAGTATTTCTATATTTCCATAATGCGAATTTGAAACAAACACTTACATTATAGAAATATTTTATAGATTTTATTTCTTAAGGTAGGAGTAGGAAAAAATATTTTTACTGTAATTAACATACATCAATTGAATTTACAACTAAAATAGAATAGAACTAAGTTAGTTTTGGTTAAATATTTTTCAACAGTCATGCTACATCATGATGATGAGACCTAGTAACTTGTTCTGTGTTCCCATTTTTGGCTATTTCTTGTTCAGGTTTAACTGTATCACGAGTTCTGATCATTTTTTTATTTAAATGCGCATATAACTGTCAATAGATCCTATCATTGGAATAGTTGCAATTAACAATTGATCATTTCTTTTCTCAAAAATACTCAAACACTCCATTAATAAATAAGTCTTGTAACCGATAATGAATGAAATTTTTGTCGATCTTGTATCGGTCAATGTTCACAAATTATTTGAAATCAAGGAACTCAAATTTCTCGATCGAATTTCTACAAGGCGGAAAAGCAAGACTTCAAATAGTGCCTACTTCACTTGTACTCCATCCTACTTTAATCTTACTTCAAAGTTTTTTTGAAGTCGGTGGAATCTGGTTTTTTCCTCTTTGCGGGTGACTGAGAACAAGGGCAAGAAGTCTACAGAGAACATGGAAGCAATAATGAAAGTGAGGTGGCCGTAGGAAAGTGTTAGATGAATTATAATTTACAATTTAAATATTTTTTTTTGCTATTTTGTCGCGGTTATAAGAAAGTTCTATATCAATTATGATTTATAATTGAAATAATTCTTTTTCTATTTTTTGTCTTTTTATCTTCAGGACATGTTTTCATGATTTTTATTGATATTCGAACTCGAATTAGGCATGTACTCAGCAGTCTATAAGGTGATAGTAATTCAAATTCTTTGAAACCCTTCATTTGAGTATTATGGATAAAATAATACTCAACCATCTTTGGTATAGATCTTGATCAGGTTGAATTTTCATTATGTAGTTTTTTTTTAAGAATATGGTATTCTGTTTAATTTTCGTATGAAATTTCAATTGTATTTGCATAAATTATCTTTTCAATTCATTTGAATAGCTAGATTTTTTTCCATGATTTCTTGCCATTTGTGTTCAATAATGGTCGAATTACTATTTCGTACAGTATTTAATAAGCTTGTCAAATACTTTAGGAGGAAGACGTGATATTCACCATTTCTCTTTCAAATGAATTATTTAGCTATTTATTTTTAAACAGTAAGATAGAAAATAATGAATCAGAAATATGAGAAATACAAGAAACAAAAAAATAGAATGAATTTATACTGAGGAAAAGTTAGACTTTTAATGATAGTTGACTTTCATATTGTGTATTTNATACAAGAAACAAAAAAAATAGAATGAATTTATACTGAGGAAAAGTTAGACTTTTAATGATAGTTGACTTTCATATTGTGTATTTTTTGTTGCTATTAATATAAGTACCGACTTTTGTTTGTTCGATTAATGCTTGTTGTTGATGAATAGCTCGAATTTCGGCAAGTGTCAAACACCGTTTAAAAGTATTGAGATCGGCTAAACGAACTTGGTTAGGTGGTCCTATTGGACTACTGTGAAATTTGTATAATATTGAAATATTAATCCAAGAGTCTGTCTCATCCATATTATTGAAGAATTTAGAATATTGCTTGACTTTTGAAACATATTGTCCATCGATACATATTTGATAATTTGACCATAAACCAATTTTAGTCAAAATAATACAAATCCATCGATCAGCAATCGATACGTATTTTCTATTATCGAAATGATATTTTTTGTTACCACAGAGTACGATAACTAGGCTCTTGACGTTAAAACTTCCAATTTGCATATTTAATTCACATTGACTAGGTAAGAAGAGCCAGAAGGAGATAGAATGAGATGAGTTAAAGAGTGATGAAGAATAACAATGTTTAAATGGATATTCATTATGAAATGAATGCCTTGAAACACTCATAGGTAGAAAGTAACATTTACTTGATTGAAGATTGATAGGAAAGAATGATTTATCCATATCTAATATCGCTTCTTGTTTCCAATTGGTCGGGTTACCAAAGCAGGTATAATGAGATGATTCTATCGAGCGTTTCAATGATCGAGAAAACCATTGATTGAGAAAATATTCATCATTCATAATCAAACACCGCCAACGATTACAGGCATAAAACATTCGCGAAAGATCTAACGGTTGATCAATGTACTGAAGGATGTGTTGTAATAATTCGCACGGCAATCGATCCATTTTGTCTGTTGTTATTCGGTTAATGGAGTAAAATGCTGTTTATACAAGTGTCATCATATAAAAAACCTTTCATTGTCAATGGTATACAGATATCGGACGTGTTTTGTTCTCTCAGTCAGTCATTAAATAATGAACGTTGACATAGCAACGAGCTCGGGTATAGTGGCAGATAGAATTATGAGACTATTTAGAGTATTTCTGGAATGCGAGGGTGTGGGTGTGTGGGGTGTGGGTGTGGATGTGTGGGGTATGGGTGTGGGTGTGGGTGTGGGTGTGGGTGTGGGTGTGGGTGTGGGTGTGGGTGTGGGTGTGGGTGTGGATGTGGGTGTGG